GGGCAGGGGCGTGCGAGGCGCGCGAGGGCACCGGGACGTGCGATTGCACGAGGGGGTGCGAGGGCACCAGGACGTGTGATTGCACAGGCAAACACTGGTGCTTGATGACCCTGGTGTGGGGCCAGGGGGGTCCCCAAACCCCCGTCTGGCCACCCCCACCAGGGGCACCCCGGGGGGACCCTGACCCACCTGTGCCACCCACCGCTGCCCCCCCGCTGCACCGCACGAGGACGTGCAAGGGCACGAGGATGTGCAAAGACAGGGGTTGTGCGAGGGCACAGAGGGCTGGAGAGGGGTGGGGGCGTGCGAGGCTGCGAGGGCACAAGGACATGGAGAGACACGAGGACACACAAACGCTGTGAAGACGCGCAATGCCAAGAGGACACAAGGACGTGGAGAAACACAAGAACGCCAAGACACGAGGACGCACGTGGCCAGGAAGACGTGAAAACACGGAGCGACACAAGAATGCAGAGACACGAGGACGTGCAACGCCACGAAGACACAAAGACGTGGGGAAACATGAAGACGTGCAGCACCAAGAGGACACGAAGATGCAGAGAGACACAAGGACGTGCAACGCTGTGAAGACGTGCAATGCCAAGAGGGCACGAGGAGAGGATGCGGAGAAACGCAAGAACACCAAGACACAAGGAGACACAACGCCAGGAAGACACAAAGACACGGAGCAACTCAAGAACGCAGAGACACGAGGATGTGCAACGCCATGGAAACACAAAGATGTGGAGAAGCACAAGCATGCACCATGACGACGTGCAACACCACGAAGATGCGAAGACGTGGAGCAATGCCATGAAGACGTCCAGCGCCATGAAGACACAAAGACACGGAGAAGCACAAGCGTGCAGCCACGAAGACATGCGCCACCACGAAGACGTGAAGACATGGAGCAACACGAGAACACAACGACACGAGGACGCATGACGCCGGGAAGACGCGAAGACGTGGAGGAACACCAGGACGTCAACACGAAGACGTGGAGAAACACAAGGACGTCAATGTGAAGACGTGGAGAAACACCGGGACGTCAACGCGAAGACGTGGAGAAACACAAGGACGTCAACGCAAAGACGTGGAGAAAC